GCAGGAAAGTTGACGTTTCGGGACAAAGGGTCCCGACCCAAAATATCAACTTTCCTGCTCCTCTGATGCTGCCTGGCCTGCTGCGTTCCTCCAGCTCTGCACTGTGTTATCTCTGACTCCAGCATCAGCAGTTCTTACTATCTCGTATTCTGCATTCTGTTCTATTACCCTGATGTACTTACTTAAGGTACGATTTGTCTGGATAGCACGCAAAACAATACTTTTCACAGTATCTTGGTACCTGTGATAGTAACAAATCAAATCAAAGGGAACCGATAAAATGTGACATTGGTTAACTGAGGAAAATATACTTTCCCTTTCCTAGCAGTAATGAAGCCTGACATCATTCTCAATTGCTGGTTATAACTTGATATTATTAAATGATTAAGTGCATTAATGTGATTGTTATCAGCTATTAGTATATGTAACAGGATCATTTGAAACTTCAGGGGATGGTTGTCACCGCCCTTTGACAAGTTTCCCAAAGCCTAGATGAAACTCCCGTACTCAGGCCTAGAGCCATGGATAATGGCACAACCAGTGAATTTTCAGTGATGCCAGAAGAGTTTGGACCTTGAGGGACAACAACTGTATCCAGGCAGAGAATCTTTTAGGAAGTGGAATTGTGTTTTCTTTAAGTGCAAATGAGAAACCACGTCATGTGATCCCTTCCCTCGTCATATTACTCGTTCAAGTTGAAACCGGAAGGCTCCTTCCCAAACCCCACCCCTGCCGGAGGGAATGGCCTAATGCTATTATTATTAGACCTATTAATGCAGAGTCCCTGGGAATGTTCTGGGGACCTGGGTTCAAATCTCATCATGGCAAATGCAATAAAAATCTGGAATTATGAATCTAATGATGACTATGAAACAATTGTTGATTGTCAGGAAAATCCCATCTGGTTCACAAAGTCCTTTTAGGGAAGGAAACTGCCATCCTTACTCGTTCTGGCCTACACATGAGTCCAGACCCACAGCAATGTGGTTGACATTTAACTGCCCTCTGGGCAATTAGGAATGGGCAATAAATGCTGACCTAGCCAGTGATGCCCTCATCCTGAATAAATAAAAATAATGAGAAAGGCGCAAGAAGTGTGAAAAGTGAATTGATAAGTAGATGACCTGCCCTTAGACAATCAGCAATACGTGAAATAGGTAAGATGTGACAATTAGGGTGACTATAATCATTGCCTGTGTGTAAATTTTTATGGCCTATTTTAATAAATTAGAATCATAGAATCCCTAAAGTGTAGGGGCAGGCCATTCAGCCCTCTGAGGAACATCCCCCCTTCCCCAAAACCCTGTGTTTCCAATAGCTAATCCACCTAACTTGCACATCTTTGGACTGTGGGAGGAAACCGACAGGGAGAGCATGCAAACTCTACACAGACAGTTACCCAAGGCTGGAGTTGAACCTATGTCCCTGGCAGCAGTGCTAACCACTGAGCCACCATGCATTAATAACAAATAGCACAGAAACTGAAAGATAGTTCCACATGGGCCGAACTCATAATAAGGTAAGCTAATACTAATTCAGAAATAAACTCTTAATCTGTCTCTGAATGGAACATGGTGCAGAGTGAAAAGTTTATTTCTATTGCACTTTGTGTAATTTTCAGTTTGGATTTTTTTTTCCTTTGGGCTGCATGCCTGAGATAGAATTTTCTAAGGGCTGGGTTAGTTTAGTTGGGTGGAGGGTTTGTGAGTGGTATGAACGGCATGGATTCAATTCCGCACCAGCTGAGGTTATTATGAAATACTCTCCTCAACCTCACCTCTCCCCTCACCTGACCTGAGCTGTGGTGACCCTCAGGTTAAACCAGCACCTATCATCTCTCTCTAATGGGAGAGAAGAACTGTGGAGTGGTGGAAGCTGATACATTAACAACCATTTAAAAAGCATCAGGATGCGTATATAAATAGAAAAGATTTAGAGGGATAATGGGGCGAATGGGATGAGATTAATTTAGGATATCTGGTTGGCATAGACAAGTTGGACCAAAGGGTCTGTTTCCATCCTGTGTGTCTCCATGACTATAGTTACTTTACCTGCTTGGAAACATAAGAGCATTACAATGGTAATAGAGTGGTTCATAATGTATGGAGACAAATTGAATTTTACTGTGATTTTCAAATTGAAACGTTTTGTAATGTACTTTTACAAATGTACATTCAGGGGAAAAATAATCCTGATTTAAGTCAGTGTCAATTATTTACCCCTGAACCCAGACATGAGTTTTGGTTATTGTTGCAATTTGTTACATATTGCTGACTGTTGGTTCGTGTGACTTTGGAAACGAAAAGGGAAGATTCTCAATGGGTGCATGATGATTAAGTTCTGCAAACTGTTCCAGGGGAGGTGGTAATTGCTCTGATTCGTCTACACTGCGCCGCCTTTTGGTTCTCGGAAATCCCTCTTTGAAATCTTGCCTCTGGTGAAATGACCAGGAAATGCAGCGGCCGGAAGTGAACCAAAACTGAAAGAGACTGGGGATCTGCAAGCGGCCCGCCTTAGCTCGCTGGTTTGATGCAGGTAAGGTCGAAATGCAAACTCCTGTGCTTTAAAATAAAACCTCTAGCATTCCGCACTAACTCCTGCTGGAGCCTCTGTTACAGACATCCCCAGGGTTATTGCTGCTGTCTGCGTGTGAAGGCCGGGACACTTCCAAAAGCAGAAGCGAGTACAAAAGAAACATGCTTTAGCAGCGAGATATGGTCTTTCACAACGAGATAAAGCAGCTCTAATAATGGTTTTCAAAATGACAGTTTAGCGGGGAGAGGTGGGGAAGAACAGAGGAAATTTGGACAGCTCTAGAAGAGAGCTTGCAGAGACTGGATGGGCAGAATGGACACCTGTTGTAATGGGTCATTCATAGAGTCGTACAGCACTGAAAGAAACCCTTCGGTCCAACCAGTCCATGCCAAACATAATTCCAAAGTAAACTAGTCTAGGCAGTTTTTTCTAATCGACCTCTAATGAAATACCTCTGGATAATTTGGGAATTGAACCAAGGCCCCTGGCCCAGAGATTGGGACAATACCACTGTGCCAGGACAGGACAGCCCTCTTTAACTCTGGGAGACTTGTGAAATTAAATTCTAATCATCTGTGGACCCTTATCGGAAAGCAATGTGTATGATGTATAGATTACCTTAGACTAACAAATTAGTGCTAGTTCCAGAGCAGAAGTGTTGTGATAAAACCCGAAGAGGTTACTTAAAGCTGCACTATTTAAGCAGGTATATGATACAATCACTATATGATTTGATACATGATATGCAGGTATATGATAGCTGTGTATATTTAAACAGGTATTTGATAGATCCAGGAAAACAAAAATCTATCTGCAGTTCCATTTTTAAAAGTTGAAGTCACAAGTGACTTAAACATCCTGAGGAGTTAGATTCAGGTTTCTGGTGCAGGTGTTATAAAGTGGTATTTTAGGAACTGTACCGTGGTGTGTTTTGGGTGCTATGCAAAAGCCATTTTGTCCTTTTTCCATTTATAAAGTGTGTTTTGGAATTAATTATACTTGTACAGTGTGATTTAAAATCTATGAATTTTTATTATAAATAATTTGGATCATCTTATTTTATCTTAGTATCTTTGGGTTAAATTTTCATTTCATTGTTTAAGCAAAATCTGCAGTATTGCATGTTCATCCTTCAGCAAGGAACCACTTCATTAAAACCAAACTATGATCTATCAGGGCAGGTTCCTGTCTGGGATCTGATTTGATGGTATTAATATCAGTGGGAATCATAACAGAACATAAGAACAAACTCAAAGTATTTTAAATGAAGCAAAGTTTCAGTGGAGTTTTGCAGTTGTTTCTGATGGTACTTTTCTCTGGGGTAGATTCACAACCAGTCAAAATAGCAACGTGATAAATTAGAAGCTTGATCAATTCAATCTGAGGTAGATGTGGCCTGTTTTGTTGTGATGGCCATAGGATTGCCTTTATTGTCAGTGTACGTTTTAAGAGACATATTCATGTGTGTAACATAACATGCGGCTGTGGGTTTAAAGGTCTCAGACTATCACTTGTAGCATGATATACTATTAGAAGTTTGCTGCACTGTTGTAGATTTTAGATTTAGGTTTTATTGTCATGTCTTCTAAAGTATAATGTACAGGAGCATAGTGAAAAGTGTACAATGTTGCTACACACAGTACCATCCTAGTACAAAGTACTGGGTACAAAATCTTTGTTACAGAAATAGAGAAATAAGTCTTTAAAATGCTCAACACCACAGCCTTCCTTAGCGTAAAAATAGACAAATAAAGCTAAAATGTCATACGTTACAGTCCTTTTTTTGAGCCAAGGGCCTGCAGATCTCCAAGCTGGGCTTCCCTAAGAGGGCTAGGTTAGAAACTAGTGACTTAATGTTAGCCCAGACACTTAAGTGCCTTCAAATGTAATATTTGCAGATAATAGTTGGTTGTAATAAATATGTTAGCTTCTTCAATACCATGTCATCAATGTCCAGTTTCTTACATTTCTAAGGAATCACAAAAGCATTGCTGCATCTGGTAAAATACTCTGCTAGAGGCAAAACGTTCAGTACAAATGTTTTAAAAAAAAAAAAAGTTGCAAAATAGCCAGACTTGCTAATTCTGTCTCATTCACTAAGAAAGTGCTGCAGTGTTGAGGGGGTGGGGGGGTTAAACTGAGGCCCTGTGTACCGTTAGAAAAAAGAGCGTCAGTGTGTTCTGTGGTATCCTGGCCACTATCTTATCCCTCCAATTAACATGATTAAAACACATTACCTGGATATTATAGTGTGGAGCTGGAGGAACACAGCAGGCCAGGCAGCATCGGAGGAGCAGGAAAGTTGACGTTTCGGGTCGGGACCCTTCTTGTTGCAGGTTGTGGGAGCTTGCTGTGGACAAACTGGCTTCCATGTTTCCTACATTATAACAGGGACTCCACTTGGTTGTTTGTAGAGTACTGTGATGACTTAGGGCTGTAAGAGGTTCCACATAAAAACAAGATTTTGAAAAACGACAATGTGTTTAATGGACAATCGTTGCCTTCCTGCCCTGAGGCTGCAGACTTGCATTGGGCTTTCCTTTCACAGTGTTGAACAGCTGTAAAATTCACCACTCGTGTAGAGATTTTCTGTGTGAATCAAGATGGTGAGTTTGGGAATTGCATTTGGCTGTAGGGAGCTCAGAGTCGGCCTTGTTCCACATTGTACATTCATGTGTCATTAAACATGGGAGTTCCCTCCACAATATTTTTTCATTCATTGTCTGTGGACAATCTTGCACTTTCTGCTGATGCTTGATCTTAGCAGTCAGCTGCATGGATTGAGTGGAGAAGCTGGGACTGTTCTCCTTGGAGAAGAGAAGGTTCAGAGTGAGATTTGATCGAGGTGCTCCAATCATGAGGGCTCTGGACAGAGTAAAGAGGGAGAAACAGTTCCATTGGCAATGGGTGGAGAACCAGGGAACTTTCTTTGAGGGTGAGTGGCCAAAGAAGCAACAATGGACATGAGAAACCTTCTTATTCTACATGTGGTTAGCAATGTTCCCATGCTAGACAGATTAGTAAAGTTAGATCACATGGGATTCAGGGAGAGCTTGCCAAAAGGATACAAAATTGGCTTGAAGGTAGGAGACAGAGGGTGGTGGTGGAGGATTGTTTTTTCAGATTAGAGGCCTGTGACCAGCGGTGTTTTGCAGGGATCCTTACTGTTGTTTGTCATTTTAGGTAAATGATTTGGATGAGAATTTAGGAGGCATGGTTAGTAGGTTTACAGATGACACCAAAATTGGTGGTATAGTGGACAATGAAGCAGGTTACCGAAGACTACAAAGGGATCCTGATCAATTTGGCCAGTAGGCTGAAGAGTGGCTGAAGAATTTGAATAAACACAAGGTATTGCATTTTGGTAAAACAAACAAGGGCAGGCCTTTATACAGTTAATGTAGAACAGAGAGACCCAGGGGTTCACGTACATAATTCTTTGAAATTTGCATCACATTGTAGACAGGGTGGTTGAGAAGGTGTTTGGCATGTCTGTCTTCATTGCTCAGACCTTTGAGCATAGGGAGTTGGGATATCATGTTGAGGTTGTAGAGGACATCGGTGAGGCCACTTTTGGAGTACTGTGTGCAGTTCTGGTCGCCTGGTTATAGGAAGGATATTATTAAATTGGAGAGGTTTCAGAAAAGATTTACCAGGATATTGCTGGGAAAGGAAAGTTTGGGTTATAACGAGAGGCTGCATAGACTGAGACCTTCTTCATTGCAGTGTAGGAGGTTTTGTAGCTCGGGTTGTAGGTGTTGAGGTTGGTTGGCTCGCCGAGCTGGTTTGTTGTTCCGCAGACGTTTCGTTACCGTGCTTGGTAACATGCTCAGTGCAGCCTCTGATGAAGCGTCGGTGTGTTTTCCCACCTGCTTTTTAAATTCTGGGGTCCGTTGCGATTGATTGCCTCACTTCTGGGTTTCCTCTGTAGTGGAATGTATATGGGGTCAAGTTCAATGTGTTTATTAATAGCATGCTTCGTGGAGTGCCATGCTTCCAGGAATTCTCGTGCTTGTCTGTGCCTAGCCTGTCCCAGGATCTTGGTGTTGTCCCAGTCGAAGTCGTGGTTCTCCTTGTCCATGTGGATTGAGTGTAAGAGGGTTGAAAGATGACTTTACAGAGGTGTATAAAATCATGAGGGGTATAGAGAAGGTAAATAACAAAGGTCTTTTCCCTCGGGTGGGGTTTGTTCAAAACTGGAGGGCATATTTTCAAGGTGAGTGGAGAAAGATTTAAAAGAGACTGTGAGCCCTCAGCCAGTCTGGCAGTTTCTGTGGAAAGAGATACAAGAGTGAACTTTCAAATTGGCATCCGTCAATCCTCTTACCAACCTGAAGTATTAACTCTGTTTCTCTCTCCACAGACACTGCTAGACCTGGCGTGTTTCTCCAGGGTCTGTTTGAAGCTTTGTTCTGAAATAAATGTTCAGAGAGCTTAGAAGGTGTGCAGTAGTCTACCCTGGTGAATCTGTTTTCAAAATACAGCTGTGTGAAATAAACTTTAAAGAGGCTTGAGCCTTTTTCAGCAAAATGACTTTAAATAGCATCAGGCGTTTTTACAAAAAGGAAATTACACAGCCTGGGTTTCTCAGAATTGTTATAGCACAGAATTGAATTGAATTAGCTTTATTGTCACATATACTCGTGTGAGTACAGTGAAAAGTTTACAAGTCGCCACTTCCAGCGCCAGTAGAAAGGTACCTAGGTATAGATTTTGAGTACAAATTCTTAAGGGAAAAAGAAATTAGAAACATTTAAGTCCAGCATTACAGAAATGCAAAAGAATTAGAAAAATACGGAAATAAAAATTGTTAACGATAACAGTGCTTCCACCTTCATAGAAAAAGAATTTTTAAAAATAGCGAGAGAATTTAAGACAAAGTCCACTTCACAGCTCAGAACCCGACAACCCCCTGCACCCCTCCCCCAGTTGGAATCCCAGGCCAGACCCATCACGATGCTGAAGAAAATGCCCGCATGAAGTCACAAACTGATTGAAGC